GCAGCTATTTGATACTGGTATGCCAAATAGCCCAACACTAATGGCCACCTATGCCCAGTTACCAGTCCAGTCACATTGGGGAGAGCTGGTTTGTTCATAATGGTTTGTTGGGAACTTGAACAACGATAATACCCAAAAGGTGAATCACAGGGACTTGATGGTGTGAACATCCATGTGGAAATCTGTGACTTCTGGCTATGCTCTGTCACCTGCCCCACTGGGTGCCAGGGGAGCCAGCACACAGCCCAGCAACTCTACCAGGTGTCATGATGTCCAGCTCACTGGATGTCTGAAGCATCCTCCCTCTCTTTCTCCAAGCAGAAACAATGACTGGGGAAGTAAAAACCATGTGTTCATTTGGAGATTGCTGCTGCATACTAGTTTATATGAAGCAATTACATTGCGACACCACACATTTCAAAGCAAACTTCTTTGTGAATCCAGCTCTGAAAAGAGAATAGAGGTTCTCCTCACATCTTAGCTGAGAATTGGACCTGCACTTCTAAGACAGTTACCAACTCTTTTCATTCAGGCTGTGGTGAATTGGCTCCTTGACAAAGGTACAAAGCCCCACTTTGATTTTCAGTTTCTAGTCTCTACACAGGGGCTGAATCAAAGTAACTTAAACTGTGGCTTTGATTCACGTTTCCAGAGCTGGCTTAAGATGTCCCTGCTATTTGTTATCATCTGCTTGCTGGAGATTCACACCTGCCTGGCAGAGCTGGTGGACCTGGGTGTGTCTGTGTGCATCTCTGGGCTTTGATGTTCACAGCTTCCCAAGACAATATTGAAATACAAGCACTTCTGAGCGGGAATAATGGTGAGCACTGACAAATTAACATATGCCTTAAAATGCTCCCATTCTGTTTTCCAGGATAACATGCTCAGTATTCTGGTTTAGCAGTGTTTACACATACCCTGATCCAGTTGTTTACATCATACTTGGTAATTACCTTCACAGGGCTATTTGGTTGTTTCTAGGGATGATGTAATCTTTGCTTGTACTGCTTGCCCACATAGTTTGCTGTATCGAAGGGCCTTGGAGTACTTCCTCCAGTAATTTTATTTCACTGGCTCTTTAGAAAAAGCCATAGCTATTTTCTCATCTAGCTGTGCCCAGAACTTCTGTTGCAGGGAAGAATACAAGGACAACCAACTTCCTGCCATTAACACTGTACAACTGGAGCTGAGACAGATTAATTCAATGTATACTTGTTATAAAAGAGGCTGAATCTTCAGCTGTGCTTATACACTACTCAGTCTGAAAAAATTAGGGGACAAAAGTTTAAACAAACCTTTAGGGCCCTCTTCAGCTATCTTATTTCCCAGAGGTCCGAGGGGCTTTCATTGTAGATAGCCCATGTGTAATGTCTCATCAGTTTAACCAAAGATCTCAGGTTAGCCTGGGATGGATAAACTGGTGTGTTTTGAAGCGTGAATGCATTGCATCACACTCCTCCAGGGAATATGGGTGCAACTGGGGTCATATAAGGTCCCTTGTGTATGATCTGGGTGGTAAAAGTGTCCTAGGCAGGGACAGTCCACGTTTGGTTCAAATCTGTTGCCTGGATAGGGGATAGGAGGAAGATGCAAGTATTTGACAATGGCCTGTCTCTGCCAGAGGGGTTCACAGTTTGAGGTACTGTTGAGAAGTAAGTGGCTTACTGGAAAGGGTCTAGGGCAACATTTTTTCCCAGTTCTGTCCTATGCTTGCTAGATGACCTTCATCAAATCAATCACCTACTCAATGCTATTGGTGTAGTGTCTATGCAATGGGTGTAAAACTATCTGCCTCCAAACCCCCATCCCAGTGGGATGTGATATCTAAGTCCTCACTTTGCCTCTCCTGCCTGAATCTTGATTTCTTTCTTATCAGCGGATAAAAAATCATGGGATGAGACAGAAAGTGTTCCCTTCCTCTCCAGCTATCCCACAGCCATGTGGCTTGGGCATAATGCTGGGTCATGGGAGAGGAAGGGTTTGAACTCCCTGGGTCTGTGGAAGCAGCTGTGCTGACTGGTAAAGGTTGACAACCCTCGCTGCTGCAGTCAAGGAGTCCCGTCCTCAGGTGTTTACTCAGCGCTTGTGCTGGTCATCACCATCCTGCAATGAGCTGGCACAAAACCAACCTCCCTGTGCCCCAGTTCCTCCAGGGCAAAAGTCCAGTCCTCCTACAAGTGCCTGATGAAGGCAGGTGTGTGGATGCTTAGTTTTTGCACAAAACAAGCTGAGATGAGCACCCATGGCAAGAGCCACCAGCTCTGGTGCGAGGGACGGACCTCTGGCAGGGGGCTGGGAACAGAGAGCTAGGAACCTGTGAAACCACACCTTGAACTGGCTCTGGGAATGCAAATCAAAGCCATGATAGAAGTTATATAGGTGCAGCATCTGTGTTCAGCTGAGCCCTCTAATCTTTGAATTGCCAAAGGCCTTGAGGTACCATTACGAAAAGCAAAGCCTACCAAAGGGCAGGTTGCTGCAGCCTCTTCTTGCCCTCAGCAGGTGTGGAGAGACGGTGTGTGGGTGGCAGGGATGTCTCTAGTTCCCTTTTAAGAGGGGTACTTTCACACAAACCGTAGAGGCAGCTTTCTGATCCTTTTCTTCCATCAAAATGGTACAGAGGAGCTTCATGGGAACCAAAAGCTCACCTGGGCTTTTTAAAAAAACTTTTAGAAGGATTAACATAGATTTACGTTTGAGAAAGCAGGCTAATTCCAATCTAAGGCACAGGACAATTCCCCCCAGTTCCCAGGAGGGTAACATCATAATCCATTATTAGCTGTGCCAGTTACAGTTATTTCCTTCCCACATTTCCTTTCAGGTGTCAGACTAGAGTGCAATTGCTTTTCTTCCTAAGAGCACTATTTTTAAATCTAAAGAATTGAATGTTATTAATATAGTAGGTGTTGTACTGTGCAGCCCATACTATAATGGGGTGTTTATAGCATCGATGCTCTTACCCAGTCCATTTGTAATCAGAAGTAATAGCACCACTTCACCACTTGCTCTGCTTGAAGATGCTGCAATAAATTCCAATGAGCCATAGCTTGGCTGCAGCTGGTGAGTGATGTAGAAGCTTTGTGCATTTTTACTTCTTTAATGTTTATAGCTCTTTTACATTATACGAATATTGCCAGTCCCAAGGATTCAGCTGTCATGAATCAAGCCTCAAAAACTAATGAGATTTTACAAAATATGTACATTTGAAGTGTGTTTTATGGGCCTTCAAATGTTTCAGCCTTTGTGCTGAAACACAGCACAAAGCCTGACATGCTGTCAGGCTTCCCTCATTTTCCTGCCACAATCTTGTTTTAAGGAAGGAAAAAGAAAGCTGGGATTAACATATGATCGTCAGATTCCAACAGCTGGCCCCTACCAACATCATCTGATATCACAAAGTCAAGATAATATTGTAAAAGCAGTCAGCACAGTCAAACAGATCCTCATAGCTCAGCTAAAACTGTCACCTAGAGCTTATACATCCCTGTTTTTCTGTGGAAATAAAAGCTTTCAACTCCAGCTGCTTCCTGCTGTGAACTCCCCACATGCAAGTAGGAAGGAAGGGTTCATTTTGGAGTAGTGGCAACAGAAGCCACTGGCCAGCATGGTGTGGCCTGAGCAGGGCAGAGCATATGAATATGCCACCCTTGTCTTGTTGGCAAGGAAAGTTCAGCAGCACAGACCCCCCAGCCAGCGGCTCAGTGCCATTGCCTGCTCCACTGATGCAAGTGTCTGCAAGGCCACAGCATGAAGTGAGTAAGGGAAAAAAGGTTAAAAATAACCATACCTCTCCCTCCCTGTCTCCCCTTCTCCTCCCAATTTTTAAGTATTACTTTACACCTGGATCGGTTTCCTGCTCGGCAATTGGCACAGCAACAGCAGTAGTGTCACAGCAGGTAGATGACACCTCTGAAGGGGCAGTGGGGATGCGGAACGTTCCAAGTGGGACACATCACTCTAAGTACCCAAGAGCTTTCTTAGGACTGATTACAGACTAAAGGGTGCATGTGCACAGGAAATGGAAAGAAATTATTAAAAATCAGAGAAGGGATGATGTGTCATCTCCAGTAGAAGGAGAAAACTAAAGTTTGAGAATGGTGTTTCTTGGAAGGATAGGCTTGGATTTCTTGCAGTGCTTAGGGAGATATGATGTCGGAGGGCTTTTTAGTAAATAAGGAAGACTGCACCTAAGAAACATCTGTTCCTGGCATCTGTTCCTCTTAAAACTCAAACATAACCCCAAATTTAGTTTGGGACTTCACTGAAACAAATGACAACTGTAAAAGGATTTGACTCCATATTTTGCACATTTCTTAGTGCTGGGGTGCAGGACTGCTTCTATTGAGACTGGTGGCCTTAGGAGCAACTACTCTTAGAACAGACTTAACAAAAGGGTGCTGATGGGGAAACAGTATGGGAGGGGGTGGCAGCATCCACTTCTGTCCTTGCTCAAGTAGTGTCCCTGCCTTAGTCCCAGTGGTCACTAGTTTCTTTCTGATGCCTCTAGAGCTCCTGAGCCCAACATTTACATGTGTTTAAAACTCCAGCTATTTTTCACTCTTTTTCTAAACTACCAAGGGCAGTTGTTCCTGCTTTACACTGCACTTCTCCTAACTCTGTTCTCTGTCATCTCCCCATGCAAGTATCCTCAACTGATATGTTTTTCCATTCCTATTGCACTCATCTTCTTTCTTTCTATTCCTCTTTATCCCCATCTCCTTAGTTTTCTTATCCCCTTAATGATTATCTTTCCCCTCCCTCTTATTTCTACTCTGATGAGTCTCTTCTGACTAAAAAACTGGATTTCTAAACAAAACATAATCAAGTAGGAAAGTCAAGATTAACAGTTCTGCTACAAGTATATTTTTCTGGGTGAGATCTATAGGGATGTGCAAGAGCTCTCATCATTACCTTGGTATACATTTGTAAGACAGAGTACTACTTTCCCCACACTCCATCTCCTTTATCTTTTAAAAGTGTTCCCTAGTGACAGAGATTATATTACTTTATCAGTTTGCACAATTTCTAGAACATCTGATCACTCTTGAAATATAAATGTCATATAATCATCAAAATAATACATAAAGTCCTCATTGCTTGCAATCTCAGGATGTCTGGAGTTGTGCACTTCATAAGCATCTCTCTGTGATTGCCCACTTAGGTAGCTCTAAGGAACTTGGAGCATCCTCCAGAGGTGACAAGGTGCTCTTACCCTCACACTACACATGGGCAAGAGTGATGTGCCACAGGACACACCACATGTCCCTACGGACATGAGAACCAATATCTGCTGAACCCTTCTGCTATGTTTTGATCTTTGGTGCCCTTCTTTCCACATGGTGATGGGAAGCAGGATGTAACTTCCGTGGAAGCAAAGCCTCCAAGAGCCAAACAATTTTAGGAGTCCCCTTGAAGGCAGCCACGGCACCTGGTGGACTGTAGAAGGGGGAAAAGAGAAGGGAATAACATGAAGTCCACCTCTGTTTGCAGACATCCTTCACTTATTTTTTAAATAATGCTATGAGCCAGTGTTTTCCAAGGGGGAATATGGAGGAAATCACCATCTCCACACGGACTCATGTAAGAAAGGAAGCAGCTGGTCCCTGATACTTATTGCTGTACATCAGGTTGGAAACTTTGGTTGAAACACTGCACAAAACTTCATTTCTCTGGTTATTTTCATCCTCCCTCATTTTGTTCAATTAAGTAATTAATGCTTCAAGGAAAAAAAAATAAAAATCCTGTGGGAGTTCATTTCACCCAGGACAGGGAGCGCTGGAGCACAACTGGAGGTAAGATTGAGGTGCTGTTGGGCACAGGTTTATTCCTGTTCTTATTTTAGCTGAACCAGTTCACCCACCCTGACAAATAGGTGATAAGGCAGTGTGTTTATAACAAGTATCCCGTATGGCACAGCTGCACTATGGATTAGGTAACGTCCATGACTCACTGCAGAGTTATTGGGACACTTCATTCCTTCCTTTGCTGGTGCAATAGACTTCACCAGGCACACACTAATCAAGCCTCACAGCTTTTCTGTTAGGTAAGGTGTAATTGTAGGCTTTTTTCAGACATAGGGACTGAGAATCAAATCTTCCTGCCAGAGACACCAAGTTGTTTCCTCTGGTTTTTTCCTGGGGGTTCTGGAAGCTCCTTTCAAAGAGCCAAACCCTCACAGGCTCATGCAGGAATTATCATCTGGTATTGCCACACCTAGGGAGTTCCTGGCCAAAACTTTGATATTTGCACTGGATACTGGGCACCTAGATTCAAAATAAGTAAAAAATAAATAAGGTTTTAGTAATCCTGCTGTAAACATGAGCTACAGACCTAAAGGGCCCCAGGTGTTGAACCTCCTTCAGTGGATTTTGAGAATTATTCTCCATTTTTGTTTAATGCAAGAGGGTTTTTAAAGGATGTACTGACCTATCCAGATGGTCAGGTCCATGATAGCTTTTAGGGGATGCAACATGGGACTTTCTCTGCACAACTGCTGAAGCAACACAAGCATGGATTACTTAGCCAAGCACAGGGAAGAAGAGGACTGGATGCTCTCTTTCAGTGGACATGTCCCGGGCATCAGTGCTTTTTTTCCCAGCCTGTGTTCTCAGCTGAGCCAGGTGCATAGGAGTCTCTATTGGCTATGGATTTCTTTTTCCACCCTTATGATTCAGGTTGAAGGAGCTCACTTTCATACTATTTTACATCATCCTTAGGCACAACAGAGACAAAGGCTCCTGTAGAATATCAATAATCACATAAAACTGGTGAATAAGCCAGGAAATAGGAAAAAAAATCTATGGCTTGCTACCCAAATGGCCTCTTAGTACCCACTCCAAATGCCCTCAGATGGGACCTTCGTAGACAACATCAAAACTCAGGCGAGTTTTTTACTCTAAATGCAGTTCCATTGAAATCATGGGGAAAAAAAGTGCTCACTGATTTCACTGTCACCGAGGTTTAGTGTTGCAATAGGGGGACTAATTGTTGTTCACTGAAGCCAATGGAAAGAACTGTAATAATCTGAGCCCATGATTTGGCTTCTGGTGTCAGTACTGCTTTGGACTGGCTAAAGGAGTTGCTCCTTACCCTGTCCCCATCAGCTGATCACTTGTGCCTTCCTACAGTCTCCTGCGTTGCACCAGCCCCACTGTTTGTGTAACCACGCAGTAAACCACCTTAGAAAATAACCCAGCACAGTGATGTTCCCAGCACAGCTCACCAGCTGGCTGCACAAACAGCTGTGCCAGCCCAACAGACAGGTGGCACAGGGTGCAGGATGAGGAGCGAGAAGCAACTGCTCAACGCTGCTATCAATAAAATGTCCCTCTTGGAAGATGCTCACAGGTTGGTCATGCAAAGGGACTGAGCTGCATCAATGGGCGCTGTCAACGGGGTCTTTGAGCCATTTCACTTGTGTTGGCTCTAGCATTTGGAGGCTTCACCGAGGTAACCGGGCCTACTAACCTGGCAGGAAACTAGTCTGTCTGGGAAAGAAAGAGGCTAGTTTTCTACCAGGCTGTGAGATGGCTTAGTTGTCTTGTATGATCTCAACCTCAGTGATCAGATCCTTGATCCTTGTTACTTATACAAGCGTACATGGTTGTACGCATAGCTCTGCCTATGCTTAATGGAAACAATCCGTGTTTACAATGGAAATACCAGAGAGCACAAGTCAAAAGTGTGGTGACTAATTATATTCTTTCAGCATTACTATACTGGTATTTTGTTTATTGAGCTCTTCTATTCCAATTCAAGATTCAACACACAGGCTCATTCCCTGGCCTTTTCCAGGATATATGCCTTGTGGAGGACTTCTGCAAAGATGGTTTTGTACATCCTCCACTTGTTAATCCAAAGCTTTTACTGAGATGAACATTCCCATCCCATGCAACGCTCCCAGCAGTTTTACTTTCATATAATTCAAAAGCAGAGTAGCCAGGGGTGGGGTTTTTTCTCCTAATTTCTCCTTTTAAATTCCAAGTTTCAGTCAGAAAAAATATTTACAGCTGTGTTATATAAACTAATGAAAAACAATGTTTAAAATGAAAGTGCTGGCACAACTTTATGGAGAACAGCAGTGGAAATAGCCATATGGTAATAAACAGGCTACTTGATACAGTTTATTGTTTAACTCCTTGCTTACTTTTAGGAACTTAAGCTTATGTTCTCAAATGCATGAGTCCTCTGAGACACGTAGTTGGGTTAGTCACCCAAACCTGAATCTGGGTCTCCCTATGAATACATAGCCTTGGAGTAGCTCAGTGAGTAAGGAGCCTTCTCAAGCAGGGACTGCCTGTATTTCCACAGAACACACAGAACGCACCATTAAAAAAGTTTCCATTTCTAAGGTAAACAAGTAGAAGTTTTGATTTTTAAAAAAGGGCAAGAAAATGCCTGGACATTAGTTGGTTTTCCCAATCCATTGAGAAAAACAAAAGAGAGTGAAAGATTTTATATTACTGCAGTGTTGCCTTTCTCATGCATAGCTGTGATAGTTTCCTAGCCTGTGATTGTAATAGCATGATGAGATATTTATAACATGCTAGGAAAAATGTTTACTTTTTAAAGACCATCACAGTAGCATAATAACAAACCTTGAAATCTGTCTTTCCTATAGCCCAAAATCACTCAATGGAAGAGATTTTTATGTGTTGGCTGTTGGTGTGCATATTAAAGCCATTTCTAAGGAAAAGCTGTAAAACATACACCCGTATGCTGCACTCTGCACACATGACTGCACAACCAGATTAGGCCACATGGCAGTAAAAGTGCCCCTGCCTGGTTGAACAAGAGCTTCTGCAGTTGTTGCCACAAGTGAAGCCACCCTGGTACCAGAGCAAGGGTGGGAACAGCACGAGTGCAGATAAGCCTTTACAGTAAATCAGCTATAACATGGCTTGGCTCCAGGCCCACATAATAACTAACCAGTTTTATGTTAATTATTTGCTATCCTTCTGCATATAGCAATAGTTACAAGCCAGTACTAAGCATAAATGACTGCAGTGTGTAGCTGGCTTTTGTAAAGTCTCTACTTTTTTGGCATACTGCATCACTTTCTAACTGACAGTTGCGAATGATTCTGGTTATTCCTTTTGCTTGTGCTTCTTTCTCGCAGTCTCTCATTAAGTAATGTTTTAAAGTGTGTTTATAAGGATAAACAGAGGCACTCCTACATTTGGATATTTGACTCCACAGTTCCTGTGTGTTATATAGTAATTCACCCTTACACACCAACTGCAAAACAGTTATACTTTCCCAAGTGCCCCAGTAAATCTGCTCTAGTTAGAATATATTCCTGTATCTGGAATGTAATTACCAAGAAGATGGGCTGCAAAACCACAGAGTCTCTCTCTCCCCTCTTCCATCCATCCTAACCACAAGTCTCCAGTCCCCAAATCACAATGCAATATTCCATTAGGGAAGCTAACCCAGCTCTTTCTGGGAGTGATTGAGTTGGTCCAGCTTTGAAAAGTCAACACATTATTTCCTCCAGGGTTACTTTTTTAAGCTTGCACACCAAAGGGGCAGCCTGCCTCACCACTGGAAGGGGCAGAGACAAATGTCAAGAAAACAAATACCTATAGTTACTAGTGCCTTGACAATTCCCCTAGTGGAGTCATGGTTTGAGACCTGTCTCCATCACAAAAAGATCACAGTAGGAACCTATGCGGTTATGTGGTGCACTCACTCCCTACACAATTCCACCCAGGGACTCTCTGTCCCCTTCAAAATTTCAAACACAGAATTCCTTTACAGACACTTAAATGCATAAACTTCCCTTAAGTGCTTGTAGAAGTGTTGCTCTAGGTCTTACCAGCTTGGTATCCACTGGCAAGGATTTTGATTCTCCATCATGGCTTGTCTACTCCTTCAGGGCTGGTGTACACCTTGAAGGGTTACTAGCATAGTTCTACACTACAGGTAGCACCTGTGGGTTGTGGAGTGATAGTTGAGAACTTTACAGCAGTGCCTACTGGTAACTGAGAACCAAGGCTCACAAGGAGCCAGGTAGGTTGTGGTAGCAGCAGAGTCTCCAGCAAAGCAGGAACAGAATGAGACTTTGGAGAAATTATTCTACAATCAAGCTCTGATGTTGGAGAAATATAGGGGCAATACTGAATGCTCCAAGCTCTCACAGGTTTCAATGGCAGAGCCGCTCTCAGGTTCTGAAAATGAAAATGGTGCACAAATGACAGCAGCTGGCCACTGAGGCACCCCAAATACACTTGGAGAATTACTGTGTCCTGACCCCACCAGCCAAACTCATGAACCCTAAAACTACGTACCAGAGCCTTTCAGCAAACTACATCACGAGAAGGAACAGGGCAGAGAATTGAGCATGTGTTGTGCTGTGGAAAGGGCAGCGTTACCCTACAAAGGAATTAAGACTTCGTAAAAAGAAATAGGAAGAGCATTAGGAAAGAGCCCAGTTCTTGCAGCCCTCATTTTTCTGAATCTTTTTATTTATTCTATTTACAGCCTCTAGGTTTTGAGTGAGTCCAACCTTAGAGCTTCCCGGCTCTCAAATGCTGGAGCCAGGCGCTGGCTGCTGCCCAGCTGGCCTCTGCCCTAGTTACACTCCGTAACGCAGCGAGGGCTGTAGTATCAGTCCTTTCCAGGGCTAAACCATGTCACGGACTTTTGATCATTAAAGGAAATGAACTTGAGATGACATTAAAAACAGTAAATAAGATTTGTGTACAGGGACATCAAGATTACAAAGCAGCAGTCTCAAAGGTTGGAAAACACAGTGTGCAGAGCTGCTGATTCAGTGGTGTTCTTTGGCAGGAGTTTAAATGACGGCAAGATGTGTGAGGCAACAAAGAGTAAAATCCTGAGTATTCGGCTTTCAAGGAAATTTGCAAAAAACAGTCTCAACAGCCAAGATTTACATGCGTCTTCCGAGAAAGAATTACTTTTCTATGAGAAAGTAATCATCCCATGCACTGCTGAGCTAATGATGTATAAAATAACTCTGACAAGCTCAAGTCCCACAGAGACACTAGACAGCAGAAGAGAAAAGAGGGAATCCAAACAAACTACTGGTGACCAGAAAACAACTAGAAGCAGATCACTAGCAATAAATCATAACATGACATTGAAGCTGGGCTCATCTTACAAAGAGCAAAAAGGAGAGAGAGAATTGCTAAGGGCAGATGGCAGTGCCTTTCCTGGTGATATAAACACAGATGAATGCATATCATTTCTGAGTACTGCATATAGCCCTGCCTATCTCAACAGCATGAATAACTGGAAAGAA